GGTAGTCGGCGCCCGTAACCACTCTCGCAACTCCATGGCCAACGGAGAATCATTTCTGCCATCGTCACCCCATCGCCTTGGTGGCAACTCGTTTTTTTTTTCGTTTTCAAGAAGCCTGAAGCCTTGTTTCGCCTGGGTGAAACTGCATGATGTGTTGGCACAAAATGCAGGTGAATGTGCTGTGGTGAATAGGGGTGCGTTGGGAGCAAAACAAGTGGCCTGGACACCGTTGTTGTAAGAATGGTTTCATCGCCGGAAATGAACAATGAACCAGACGCAAGCCATCAGAATGGCCGAGTTAAAACGTTTGAGAAATCGACTACCTCGCGATGGTGGGTTTTGGTGTAGCTGCCACTCGATGATGGCCTAGGGGTGTTATCTGCCTTGCATGGGTCAGTCCGCCAACAAGCACAGCAAACATTCTCGGTGTCGGGGTTTGGCTAACCAGCCATTGGCAAATGAGCTTCCCCCAAGACTGTTCAGTTTTCCCTTCCAGACAAGAATTTGCCACCGTGGTTCCTTGCCATTCGTTTCGTCAGCCTCATTTGTGTGGCGGATCCAGCCGCATGCTGTCGTTGGAGGGAAATGCGCCGACTCGTCTTGCCGACGCAAGAATAATAGTTTGAGGAGCGTGGGGGGAAAACGTCTGGTCTTAGAATCTTGCGCTGTCGGTAAGCAGGAAGGGGCATGATTTCTTAACTCTGGTAAGTTGTCTCGGAGCACCATACCTATAGGATGTGTATGAGTAGTACCGCCAGGGATAGAGCACTGGCTAACCTGTTAGATGATGCCCTCGGTTGGTAAAGGCGCGGGAAATTCGTTCGTGATAACAGAATTTCTGTCCCTCAACGAACTCAAGGGTAGAAAGCATCAAAGTCGATTTTGGCTGGCGCCGGTTCACCTTGGCTTAAATCAGCTCTGGCGTCGGGCAGCGAAAGCTAAATGACTCATGGACGATGTATTGACAGGTGCCTAACATGCACAGAAGAGAGCTAGCCGTGGCCTGGACTCATGTTGTAGTTGCAGCTTGTCTGTGCTGCGAGTCAATGTGCGTTCAGGTCGTGACGCGTTACGCAACTGCAGCAGGACGACTGCCTCAACATTGTCAGTGCCAGTCCGGGGAGCTGTAGAGCGTAAGAGAAGCATTAACAGAAATGATCAATGTTGCTTTTCTTGGACTTTTTTGATCAGCCAGGAGGCAATTGAATGTTGGGACGCGACTTGGCAACGACGGCAGCACTGGAGAGTTTGGCCAACATGAGTGTCTGCGTGCAAGTGGTTTGGGTTGGGGCCGGGCCTAGTCGGGCCCAGTCAGGCCAGGTCAGGCCAAGTCAGGCAGCCATCGCCTGCTGGACCGTGGACCAGACGGCGCCAGGGTTGACATCTGGAGCTCTTGAAGCGTCAAGTCAATACTTGCGCACTTGGGCCCCACTAAACGCCGCAACAGACCACTGACGGCGCAGACTGCGTGCTCCCAGGTGCCATCAATTGATGTCAACTGGTCCGTAGCAGCTGTCAACACGTGCTTCAATGTTCACTGTGAATTGCCAGGCTGGTGGGCAGCACGCAGCCACTTGGGCGCTTCACCAAGCCCCCAGCGCCGAGTTTGACCGCAAGCGAGTGTGGCCTGGCTTGGGCGTGTTTGCTTCAATGTTCATGTCAAGTCCTCACCAGAAACAGTGCAGGAGCGGTTCACTCGACTTGCTCATGTCAAGTCAAGTCTGGACCGGCTCGCTTTATCGCGACGTTCCTCAGCAGTATCCTTCTTTCTACCCAACTTTCCATTTGTTGCTTTTATCATTTCTTTTCTTTTTCTTTCTCCCCCGTCTCGCACCCTGATCTGTTTTGTCCAACTCGGTCGTACACAACCACCATCACACACACCGACCGCCCAGTCCACACCGACGCCGCCCCTTCCCCCCGTGGCCGTATTCCCATGATTAATGAAAGCCGCCAACACGAGTGCAAGCAGCCGCATCAGATTGCGCAATCGTCAAAGACAAATGCATGATTCCTAGGCCCATTTCAGCGACCCGCACCCGGCTACTTGGCACGGGGCAACAAACATCTTACTGTGCCCGCACGCCGAAATCCATTAACCGCCATGGTCTGTCCGACTCAGATCAAATTCTACGTTCCAGAAGAGTGTCGAATATTCACGGAATTCCCCCGTTTACCGCCCGAGGTGCGGGAAAGAATCTGGGAAGCCTATTTGTCGACTCCGGGAGTCCATTTCCTCAAGCTGCAGACCAAAGATGGAGATTGGAGCTGGGCAGAGAGGCGAATGCAAGATGCCTTTACAATGCAAGAAACGGAAGGGGCTGAGGATAGAGAGGAAATGCTCACGGTTCTGGAGAATGACAGAGTGCCCAGGGAGTCACATCAAGCATGCTTGATACCAGTTGGCCCATGCCCGAGGGCAGATGTCTCGCAGTACCAAGCTTTGCGAAGGCAGCTTGCAATATTGTCATGGACATGTGTCGAATCTCGCAACGTCGCCAAGCGATTAGCAAATAGACCGGAAACCCTGAGATTGGCCAACGGGAGCATCGTCTCTCTGGGAAGATCACCCGACCTCATCTACTTGGACTACTTTCCGCCAAGCCTTTACCAAGGCAGCGGCAATTTGGAAACAATCCCGGATTGTCCCGACCTCGCTCACATAAAGCGAGTCGCAGTACGCTTCTCACACACATGGCGGCCTACAAAGAAGCTGTGCACGTGCGATTCGTGTCGGAAAACCGACGGTGCGGAACACACAGGCGTCTACCCAGCCCACCTCTACCAGCTGCTGGCCAGGCATTTCCCCAACTTGGAAGAGTTTTTCTTTATAGACTACTTCATTGTGCACAAGGGCAGAGCCCAGAGCAAATATGACGGGGGGACCTGGGCAAAGGGCCCAACAATGCAAGTGAACCTTTGCAACAGGCGTGCCACGCAACACTGCTGACAAAATGTAGACGCACAAGACGTTTTCAAGCAGGCAACAGATGTTATCACGAAGCAAACGAAGAAGAGTGGATTGTTAAGAATAAAATATTGCAAATAACGGAATGGCTTCGCTCAACTTTTGTAAGCTATGCTATGAATAGTCCACTTTGCCAACACAAGAACCCAGACAAAGTTCGCTTCTCAGTTTTGGCATGCGAATGGAACATTACTTCTCCTGCAGAGAAATCAGCAACTTCAGCGGTATTGGAAACCAAGCCCAAGACTGCCGGCATGCTCCTCGGTAGGTCGACCAGGAGGCATCATTCATTGTCCAAGAGACACCAACTGTGGCTGTCCGAGGCCGAGGCACTAAGCAATCAGCTGTCGACGAAATCTTTTGAGAGAATGATGGGCACGGAAGATGCTCGCGGCAGCTTTGTATTTCCTTCACTTTCTACCGCTTCTCCACCGAATCAATCCTCGCAGCCGCATGTTCAGGCATCTCAAGCGTAGAACGCAGCCGACGTACTGAAACTGGCATTGCAGCAACTCGAGCGAGGAACTGTGTATTTGGTTAGTCTTTTTGCCGGCAGCTAGAATCCCATACCCCCCTGTTTGTTTATTAGCTCCTAGAACAGAATGAAAAACAACAATACTTGCTAGTATTGCCGCGGGCAAATGGAGCACACTGTGGCTTGATCTGGCCAGTCGAGGTCCGTTGTATTGAAGAACAGTGCGAGCAACTTGGCAAGATGTCGTCTTAATCCATCAACACCGCGTGGGTATACCGGCTCAAATTGATTCAGTTCCGAATCGAACAGGCCGAGACTGCAATGGCACCGGTTACCTGCGTAGATGTAGACAAGCCACGCTGCGACGCCGGCTTGGTGTGGCAGGCCTGGCAGGGAAATACTGAACTCGTGCATCAAAGCCGTGCACCCTCCTCTGAGCGACAGAACGAACTTGTTGCTTGAATGGATGTGCCAAGATGGAGTCTGGGCCATTTGCAGTTGCGCGCAGCCACTGCATAGATTCCGGGCCGTCACTCAATCCTCCACCGTTAATATTCCAAGCTGAGTGAGGATTCGGCTGCTTAGGAGCCGTGCGACGTCGCTGGGTCAAATACCCATGTACACAAACTGTATATAAGCAGTATGTAATATTAGCTAAATAGGATACGCAGTATATAAGAATTACTCCTAGTACTATTCTTGCCTTAAGGTGACTAGTAAATATAATCTAGTATCTCATGAACCTATTTGTTTGTGGATATGAAATATCTGGATGGCAAGTAAATATATTTTTAAGAACTTTAAATACTATACGAGGGAGGAAGCGGTTGCTGCATTGGCCTACTATTAGAAAAGAACATATATGTTGCCACGATCAATTACTTAATAATTGGAAATCTTGCTATGTATATATTCGAGTAGATAGCATAGCCGAGTCAAGTATGTTGGCAATAATGTCATCCACCTAGAATATAGCTTGGCCTTGCTCCGTTGTCTGTTTCGACAAGGAATTTCAGAGTGGTTTGTCATTTGGGGATTGTCACCTGAGCCTTTGAGCAACAAGATCCAGCAATAGCAGGCCTTGGCCAAACACCACCGACATCTGGCTGACAAGGGTCAAGTACCCCGTCAACTCTCCCTCCGTCCGTGGTCTTTGACAGAGCGACCAGGAGGCAAGGTTGAGGCGCCAAATGAAACCAACACGCGCAAATATTTGTCGAGTCGACAAGGTGATGGTGGTTGAGGATCAAAGGGGAACGATGGTTGCTTTTTCAAGGGTTCAAAATGAGGGTTTGGATGAGGGTCGTCACAGGGGTCTCGAGGGGTTTTCAACAGGGTATAAAAGGGGTTGATCAATTTCCCGGGTTTTCAGGGGTTTCAACCAAGTCCTTTAGTTATTATCACTATCATCGTTTTGCTCAATTCATGTGCCTCATTCCACATCCAGCGTGGTTCTACATAATGTCTTGGTCGTTGAATGTTGGCAAAACGTCCAAATGGCACCCCCCGAGGCAACCTGGAGCTACTAAAAATTATCTCTTGACGGTTCGCACGTCGTTACACATTGGCCTGCGAATCTTGGGTCTGACGGCGAATCCAATCAAGCAGAAACCGCGATGGTGGCTTCACGGCATTATCTGCCTCACGGTTCAACTTGATGGATCTGTCCCAGGAATCCAGCCCTTCCCAGTCGCGCAGCCACCAATGTTGCCGGCTTGTAGCGGGCAGTGCGGTATTCGCCCAGTGGCGGCCACCCGTGGCATCATATATGGCCCGTGATAACATATTCAAAGTAGAGATTCTGCTCGGCTCAAGCTTGATGTCATGGTGACACCCGGTGTGACAGTTGGTCTCGGACCGGCGGCGCTCCAAGTCATCCGGTACGCATTTTACGTGACGACCTGTTTCCGATCGGAAGCCGCGGCTGACATGAAGGAGCTTGCCGTCTTGGTACCAAGCGAACGAATCGTAAACGAAAGCATAGTCGCTCTCCAAGTACGGCCAGAGTTCCAGCTCCACGTTTCGCATCGCAATGTGTCCAAATGGCCGCCAAGACAGGGAGGCAAAGTAGCGGTCTTGGCTGTTGAAAACTAGCCTGCACCGAAGCAAGTCTTCTCTGGAGACCAAGTCGTTTAGTCCCTTGTATCGTTTTGTTTTGTCATAATCTAGGAATGATTGTTTCGATCCAGTCCAGGCAGATACGACTGGGTCAGGCGCAGATAATGTCGCGGACGCACGCTTCTCCATGAGAGTTTCTGCATAACGTCGAAACCAGTGGACAATCTCGAGGTCGCCAAGCAAGAACAGAGCTAGCCACCAAATGCCGACTCTTGGACGGCGCAAGGCTAAGACCTTGACTAAAATTTCTAGCTTCCTGTCGTTGATGATATGGTCTAGTACGTTGATAAACGAAGCCAGCCACGGACTCACCAAGTTACAATCAATATCAGGTTGCCAGAGAGCGCTCCATAGAATAGACCCGAGCGAAGGTGGATGCATGCTGAGCGACATAAAATACCGAATATCGCGCAAATAAAGCAAGACAGTTCGTCTGTCATGGGCTTTCCGGTTATTTCCTGCTGGGCGCATGTCGGGTTGCGGAAGCTGAGGCGTCATGGTACGGACTCGGTAGAAAGGAAACATGAGAGCGGCGAGGAAACCAGCCCTGCAAGGAGGCAGTGTCGTCAATTTTTCACCAGATGGGTCTGCATTCAGATCGAATAACTGACACAGCTCCAGTAGCAGGCGAGTTGCCTCTGAAGAGCTTGGAGCCGCAAGGTCTTTAGTCGGTGCTGGCGATGTTGTAACAAGGTCTGGATTTGTCGCCAAGCACGCAGCCCAGGGTGGGAAGAACCCGTCATCAGCCATCCAGCCTGTCTTGCAACACAAGACTGCGCAAAGCCATCTAATGAGTGCAGGCGATGCACCATCGAGATATATGGCCGGCCCATGGCACCTCGACTTGGGGACTATACGGTGTTTCGAGTATCGAACCTGTCGACCTTGCATCTCAAAGAGCCGGACTGACAGGATGTAGGACCAACATAATGTTAGGACGGCATGGCTCTGTGCTATCCCCGGGATGCTGCCCGATAGTATTGTGGACGCGTCTGGATAGATCTCGCACCGAATTGGGCTATCGAATCTCAGAAAAAAGGTAACTCGCGGTCCGTTTAGGACCGACGAGTCACAATCGCCGGGTTCAGTAGTCTCGACGCAGCCTGGCCGGGCCAAGTGCCAACGTGGCCTTCCGTGTAGCTGCATGCCATCGGGCATTTTGGCTGGCAGACATGGCACATCAAATAATGTGATGTAAGGATCCAGAATCTCGACCGGCCATAACCCTATGGGGATAGCTTCTGCTCGCGTTAAAAAAAGACTCCACGTCTTTATGCCGTCGTGAAATATCTGGCCAATTTCTGCAGGGCTTGGTATGAAGGTATCATGCTCTTCTCCAACAATTTGAGATGGAAATGACCCAATGGAGGAAGTGCTAACGAATGATGGTTGTGAATCTTGTGATGCCTGTGATGCCGTCCAAACAGATGGGCAATTATTCGCTGCCATGGCTCAAGAGAAGTGACGCAAGTCTCGCAGAGAAACTTTTTGAAAAGCTGTGCGACGTGATAGTTAAGCGATTTAATTTATTTAGGGAAAGAAGGATGAGAAAGAGTGACCATAGCTTGTACAAACAACACCCGCGAGGAAAGATAAAACAAGACGTGCTCGGACCAAATTCGGCTAAAGCCCAGTGCTTCCTTCCTTCTGTTGGTTCCCACGAACCAGATATTGCATAATGCCATATCACGTGTGCGGTTATCGCGTTTTCTTCTTGGCGGATTTAATCTCCTTCGCAAAAAAGGTGCATTGCTCCCTGTTGCTTTCGAACCAAGCTCCCTCGTCGGTTATCTCCCACCTTTCCATCGCTGCATACATCTTGTTGCCCTTGTTCCTCCCCTCTTTTGGAATGAACTCGACTAGTCCATCAGAGGTCATACGTGCAGATACCTTGATTGTACTTTTAGTCGCTCCAGCACTACTACTCGCGTGGCCAGAGCTTTCCTCGTTGACGGAGAGCTTCGAGATTCCCGAAAGTATCCCTTCCATTCCGAGTTTTCCTGGGGTCGATTGCAAAGGGTCGACTGGTGCTGCTGCCGTTTCTCTTCTATACTTGCCCGGAGAAAAATGTATTGGGTCAGCCGATTCTTCTGATCCCCCCCGTTTGTGAAATTCAGATGGCTTGCAGGTTCCCAGTTTGGTCTTGCCCTTGTGCCGTGGTTTGGATACATGAGGATCATGAGCCACTGTATCTGGTGCCGCTTCATACTGATTTTCATAAGCCTCTTCATAAGCCTCTTGATAACATTCAGATATCGGTGTCGGTGACCAGTTGCTCTTGGCTTTTGTTAGTCCCGCGGCTTTACGATTGAATATTGGATCTATGAGGCTACGATTGCAGGTGAAACTCACAATGGCAACACGACTAGCTTCCGCTGCGCCGCTTCCGCTTGAAGAAGCCACGCTTTGAACATTATTGTAGTCAGGATGTTCTGTGTAATATTCCGAAGGATGCAATGGGTTTGCCTCTCGAGCCTTGCTAGGATAAAACGCTGGACCACAATGACAAGGTGTCATACAAATTTTCCAGCCGTCATATATATGAGTCTGCTGGCATATATAAATTCTTTTTTTGCAATTGCGGCATTTCGAATCCCGCTTGGAGGTGTGTTCATTCATGAAATGGCCACAGTATTGGCAATAGTCTTCTTCTCCGGTTGCTGTTGTCATTGTGAATGTCAGAGAGAATGAGTCGAATTTCGGCTTGGGTTCAATGTTACGAAATGCAATTATGGATTTGGCTATCAAGATTCATATTCCCCTGATGCAAGAAAGGTCTTCTTTATATATCCAGAGCATTAGACGAGTTGGTCTCCCAAAGTGTAATTATGCGCTTGCCATTCAAACTTCCAGTCCTGATCCAACAGACACGATAAACGGGTGCTGTTGTGATTCACTACAGTATCAAACCATACTGTTAGTAACGGCACGACATGTAGGCTCTGTCGATGGTGATGGTTGCACTTGTTGGTCATAAGAGTGCATACTGAAATGTAAAAACCAAAAAATGTCCGTGTCAAGGCTCATACGTATTTTCCTACGTCTCACGAGTTGTCCTGCGTGACGACTGCGCTGATTTGACGATCGCCCAGCTCGCTCCCGTTGCTGCCTGGAGTCCAACCGCGCCTTGTTACATGCTCTGAACAAAGACCACGCGGTGCCTGTTGGTTTTCGCAAAGTTCTCGACTTCAAGGCTGACACAACAGGCAACTGGGGCCAATACCTCGGGGGGTATCCAGCGAGGCGCCTTCTGTAATATAAAGGTTAGGTTGATGTAACGATAGGGATTGTTACAACATACAACATTTGAAGTTTCTTTTTTTAACCAGCTCATGCTATATGGATCTCTCGAAATCATACTGGTTTGAGCTCAACGTCAGCTGGTGTCATACTTCTACATGGTGAATTGTGGCACTTGTAGAGTAGGTTGCCTGACTGGGATCGCACAGACAACAGACGGAATTATTCGTATCATGCAGTCTGCACTGGATACGTGGCCGAGTTGGTTGCGTGCCATGTCAAAGACCATTCCTCGCCACCCTTTCTACATGTCCCTCAGGCAAGTCTTTTACTACAACCGCAGGCCAGCCTCATTGTCGGGCAAATAACAGTACATTTGACGGCTCGTACTTGCTTCAACGAGTCAGCGGCCACAGGCGCAGGCCAAGGGGGGTGGCCGAGGCGTGGCACTTGACCCAAGCATCCAATGGAATGCCATGACTTGGCGTTTTCTAGACCAGGGAAAGTATGCAAGGGTGGCATATCATGTTGGCAGAATAGAAGTTTGTGTCTGTTGGCACAAGAGGAGGCGCCTATGAGCGGGTTAATTGCAAATTGGGACGGTTTTCGCAATCCGATCAGACTCTTCAAATGCTAGTTATCAAATGCCAAGAAGATGCATATCCACTTGTTATTGAGCAGCCAGTGATCAATGCTGAACGCTTTGATATACTCGATACTCGTGTAGCTGCGACTGCCTGAATTTGCCTCCCGGTTACTCATGGAGCAAGCATGGTAATGGGCACATGATAAACACTGAGCTATGTGAAGACACTGATGGCATGAGTCCTTGAGAGGTATGGTTGTGCCATTAAATGCAAGCCAAAGGCAACTCTGTTGGTTGCCCAGGCCCAGTCGCTTGAGTGAGGCTCAGATTAGCCCACTGAGGCTCAAGGACTATTGAGGGTAAAGCAGCTGCCATCCAGCAACTCTCTCGGAGAAGCAAGCTGGGTCCGCTGCGATGAACTTTTTAATTCGTGTTGTATGAACTGTGTGCTGTTTACACGACAAAAGTTTGTCCTTACTGCAACTTCAGCCCAAATTCATGTCCCTTCATTCATCTAGAGCGAAGCCCAATATCGGAACCATTGTCAATTAGCACTCAGTACGTCAGTTGTCTCCGGGTGTGACAAGGGCCTAGCTTGGAGCAATTACTCAATTCATCTAATAACAGTCTTTGGTATCAAAGGTCCTTGGTTTTCCTCAAGGCCTTAAGGGACCGAAGATGTCTATTTATACAAGAAGTCGGTGAGGACCTTCTGCCCTAATCCCGTGACCGTAGCCCTCGTGTAACCGGCCCATTTCCGTGTGACACCAGGCTCCATCAACCTCTGGGGATCCTTGCTGCCTGTAAATGTTTTCTCTCGTAAATGACCCATTGAATACTTGGGTCTCATATGTAACGGACACATCTCTCAAGATGGGAGCTGAGTTCTATTAGCTTCATCGCAGAGCTTACTGGCTGAGTTTGGGGCCGCTTACACCATTGGGTAGTATACGCTGCGCATTCTGCATCTACCGATGCCTTTCGCATGGATAGCCAGCGCTGCTTGACAATAACTGGTCCCGATCCGGCTCGCTCTTTGAACATTGAGTTTAATCGTCGTTTACAGTCCTGCAGAGAGGCGATGAAACGCATTGTTCGATTGAGAACCGGAGTGTTTGTCTCAGCTCTAGCACACCACTTTATTGACAATCCGCCAGAGCCAAGTATGCTAATATGAAAGCCAGTATTTCCCTGCATAGTACTCAGAGCTATAGGAAACAACATTCCCCACTCCTTAGCTACAGGGCCGGGATGCCTTTGCTGAGACAAATGCGACACCTCGTCATTTCTAGCCTCTGACTTGGCATCGATCGCGACGTTAGATGGCTAATACGGGGATCTCGATGTGTCTATTACGGTCGGACGCTGCATAGGCAGAGATCTCATTTGTCCTTCAGCCCTATGGCGTTTTCGGACCAGTAGCTCGGGAACTATAGAGCTGCGGCTGATCAATAGCTGCGCCCGCAAGTAAGGCTTGTCCGACGACGTTTTACGGATGGTAGGGCTGGCTGAAGGAAAAAAGGAATCGCAATCCCATCAAATGCCGGTTTTGGAGATGGCTGACAGCCACCGTGCTTATTGGGCTGCGCTGCATGACGACTATCGAATTCCCTCAAGGGAGGAGCTACTTGATTTTAAAAACTGGGCAGATTTATGTCAGGGATCATGTCTGTTGCTCAACTGAGAGGACTGCACATCCAATGAGTGACCGTGGCCTCGCTGTATTAAGCAATACTAGCTCTTTATAGAAGCCTTTTGCTATCCTACAATAGAACGTGAGTACAAGAGTTCGAGCCTCGCTAATGGTAGTGGCGTCATGGCTGACACCACTTCGTCACTGCTACCATAGGGAACTAAGTAGTTCAACGTCGGAGATCAAGAGTTCGCGCAAGGCTTGAATAGGCTGATATTGGACCGACCTCAA